AAAGAGTGGGCTGCACCACCCTCACGCTCGAACGGCCATGAGCATCTCCGTCAGCAGCGATCCCAGCCAGACCCCTGCACTCACCATTTTGCTTCAGATCTATGAGTGGATGAAAATGGTCAAAGCCCACCTGGGCCAGAGTATCAGGAAACCCTACCCAGGGCAAAGGCCATGCCAACAGGACCCCAGAAGCAGAGGGCAGGAAAGACTCATCCCTCCCCACCCTCTGGAGGGCCTGGCTAGGCCTGCCACAGGGCTGCATGCTGCCTACCATGTGCGGAAGGCGGATGTTGGCGAGACTTTGGATGAGGGCCTGACTCAGGCCAGACAGCTCCAGAAACAGTGCCTCGTTCTGCTCCTCGATTAGCTTGTTCTCCTCCTCGATGCTCTTGAGATTCTTCTCCATGGAGGAGATCTGCACCAGAGACAAACAGGGGGAGTCCCACCTGCCTGGGCTCATTCCTGGCGCACACTGGACCTTACCACCCAATGCGCTGGGCTGGGCCCCTGGGAGTTGTAGTCCTCCCTCAAGTGAGTGGAGGAGGGAAACGCAAGGGCCCTTTGGAACCATAGCCTGAACCAGGGAAGCCAGGGAGGGGCCATGGTGACTGATCCAGGGGCTCCACGTGCCACTGTCCTCTGCACTGGTCTGTCCCAGAGGGCAGGTGAGAGCTTGGAGAGCTTGTCTCAGGGTGGGAGGGAATGTGGCCGTGAGATTCCTGCAGCCGTCTCCACTGCATGGGTCCACTGCATCACCAGACGTGCTGAGCTGGTCCTGTTCTCCTGGGCTCACCTCAGCCACCCAGAGTGCCCTGCACGCACCTGCTTCCTGTTCCTACCCAAGCTGGGAATCAGCACACCCACCTCCTGGGGTGTCAAGCTGTCCCTAGGCCTCGCCCTCACCAAAAAGACCGGGAAACCACCTCCCTAAAGCCTCCCAGCCTCGTCTTCTCCAGGCCAACATAAGTGTGTCTCTTCCCTGTCCCCCCCAGGCCAAGAGCCTGCACTGAGTTCTGGGGCCCTGAAGGGTGCTGATGTCCAGGGACAACCTCCAGCCTGACTGTGCATCTCCAGGGAGCCCCGGCAGGAACTAAGCACAAGCACCGTGTGTAATCCTTGGGAAGAGCAGTGAGCTCCCTCTGGGACACTGCGGAGGGCTGGAGCACCATCATCTGGAGCAGAGTGTGCAGCTTTGAAAGGATTGCATGAGGGGGTGAGGACCTGCCTTCTCTTTGCCTTTGCAAACTCCCTCAGAGAACGGTGCTTCTGAGTTCACCGAAAGGGATGGTAGAAAGGCAGTGGTCTGTCTTTAGAAAGGTCGGTTTAGGCAAGTAAAGAACAGTCAGAGGTGACTGTCTAGGACCAACACTGACAAGGGCCCTTGGGACTCTGAGGAGGAACAGCAGGGGCAGGGGCACAAGTGTGAGGCCCACACAGAGCCGTCTCACTGGGAGACCCTGCCGCTCCTTCTCTGTGAGCCTGGTGGTGCAGCGTCAGTGCGTGCAGGCAGGCAACTTTCTGTGGTGCTTTCTTTCTCTTGATTTGCTACAGGGTATGTGCACTTCCTGAAGAGAAAAGATGGGCGTGGAGGCGAGAAAGCACCCCAGAGGGGATGGCCACTCGCTGTTTCTTTTCCTCCGCTGCTCCCTCACTCCCAGAGCGTTTTTTTGTTTGTTTGTTTGTTTTGTTTTGCTATAGGGCACATGTGCTGGGGGGGAGGGTGAGAAACCACCCCCTGGGGAGATGGCCATGCTGCAATCCCTTCTCCGTTCTCTCTTTTTGAGCCAATGGGTACGAGCCTCAGACCACACAGTTGGCCAGTGGGATCTGCCACCCCAACCCCTACACCCTGGCTGGCCCCCTTGGTGACATTTTTATACAGGCTTGTGAGTATCAGACAGTTGCCATGAGCCTGCACCCAGCAGAGAAAACGGCAGGGGAACACAACTCAGGCTACGCTGCAGCCCCCAGAAAGGGTGGCACCCACTTCCTGGGGTCTGGTCACCCCCATCCCTCTGTCCCTCCGGCCTCTAGGGGACAGTCATCTCTAGCCACCCTCCCCCACCACCAGCTCTGCTCCAGCCTCTACGCAGCAGCCAGACAGTGAGGCATTTTTTTATTTTCAAAATAAGGCTGTTACTGCCTTTTTCTGATTACGAGTGCTCATTTGGAGAGCTATGACGTGTAGACAGTAACCTGTGACCTAGCAACCCTCACCAAGGACACTTGCTCAGGGCTAGGCACTTACACTGCACCCACTGGCCACTCAGCACACCACAGTAGGACGCTGGCCTCAGCTCCATCTCACTGAGGAGGTGAGGAGCAAATGGGCCAGGGGCTGCTCAGTCAGCACGCGGCTGCATCGAGTGGGCCCGGTGCAGAGACAGCATAGTAAGAGGCTCTGGCACAACAAGACAGTGTCCCTCACAGGACCACAGCCTGAAAGGACTACTCACAGCACTGGGACCAAAGCAGCAGCACTGCCCATGTGAAGGACAAGGCCCAGATCCTTGGATCGTCAACACTGCCAGGTCTGCTGGCACCAAGCAGGGCCTCACAGTGCCATGATGTGGGGCGGCAGCCAGGCCATATAGAGTCCCTGCGAGCAAGAGCTACCCTCAAGCAGCTCAGCCCTGGCAGTGACCTGGACAAGTGCTGACGATGCGATGCTGTTCTGCCCCTAGGAAGGGTGGGAGGTGGGGAGGACAGAGAGGGCTAGGGTGGTGCCACCCACCTGGGACTGCAGCTGCACCATGGCAGCCTCCATCTCCGAGTTGGACTCATTCAGGTCTCGAATCTCCTGGTTCAGCTGTTTGATGTCCTCGTCATTCTCCAGCACTGTTGTGGAGAGAAGCCTCGGCTGTGGTCCTTGGCCTCTGCCCAGACCAGCACGTGGTGTGGGAGCAGAGATCTCCCCACTCCATCCTTCCTGGATGGGGAAGACGCCCCTGTGCAGCAGAGGCCCCCCTGCCTGCTGTCCAAGCCTCTCTCTCTCTCTTGACCCCAGACTGAGACAAGGCCACAGTGGTCATGGCACCCTGGCCAAGGTCACAGTGTAAAAGGTGCATGGCTCTTTGGAAGATTCAATTACCAAGATGGAAACAGGAGTTTGTCCACATGGTGCTGATTTTCCTTACTTAAGTGAGAGTGAGCCACCGCTCCCCGTAACCTGTAGGACATGGCTTCCGGTACTGCCAGAGGACCGTCTGAGCCAGCAGTCACCAAAGCCTGAAGGAGAGCAGACTAAACACGCAGAACAGAGGTCTGGACACAGGTGTCGGGAGCTCAGAGCCAAGGTCTAGAGCCATTGGCTCAGGGCAAGGGCTCTGTCTCCACCATAACCCCTCCCAGGGGGCCTTCACCTCTTCACCCACTTGCCACTCGCGTGCCGAGCAGTTGAGAGCTTGCACCCAAGTTCTGGGTGTACCCAAGTTCATTCTCCCTGAGTGGCACCCTTACCATCACTGGTCTTGCACCCCCATTCCCGAATTGTACCCCAAACTCTTGCTCCCAAGTTTTGGGTGGCACCTTTACCATCACTGGTCTTGCACCCCCATTTCTGGGTGGTACCCCGAGGTCTTGCTCCCAAGTTCTGGGTGGCACCCTTACCGTCACTGGTCTTGAACTTTGGACTGAGAACCTCCTCCCCTGAGAGTTTTCCCTTCTTTCCAGCAAAGGTTGCTCTTGGACAGCCAGACAGACTGGAAGCAGAGGGCATGTATCACTGGCCAGCCTCGGGCCACATACAACAGACTCTTCCAGGCATGTTCTATCTCATCCAGAGGATCCTGGGGGCCTTCCTGTGGCCAAGCTGCTCCCACCACCTGCCTGCCCACCAGGGAAGGATGGGGCAGCAGCCTGGACAGGCCGGGGCCCCAAAGCTCATCCCCCAGCACGGCTGCAGCTGCCCCAGGGGATGCTGAGGGGCCAGGATATCACTGGTCACAGGTGCTGCCCCCCTGTGGCCTGAGGTTCACGTGACCTTCATGCTGGCACCTCGCAGCCCTGGCCTCTCGGAGGAGCCCTCCCAGGAGACAGCCCTGTACTCTTCCCTAGTTATGGTGTCAACGGCCCTTAGACAAGTGCTCAGAACAAACACCGAAGCACACCAGCTGTGGATTCTCAGCCATGGTTTCGTTCCTGTGTAATGGCAGTTGGAGACAATGCATGATGCCCACAGGGAGCACAACGTGTAGGCCTTCTGCCCACCTTGCCCAGGCCCCAGAAGCTTCCTCACAGGCCTTCCCAACCCTTCCCCTATGGTCTGGGGTCTGTGGCCTACGGCTGTCCTAGCGGACCAAGTAAGACTCAATCCCTCCTCTGGCCCCTGCCAGGCTGGGCAGGTCCTTGCCAGATGGCAGAATCAACCTCAGACCTTGCTCCCAACTGGCCACGTTGCCTCCTTTGGCCCTGGCTCCTGGCTCCAGCCCCTCAGTTCCTCCAACTTCATCCCTAGGGCCAGGCCAGTCCCAGTTCCAGCCACTCCACTGAAAGCTGGTGTCCCACACAGCTGGGGAGCAGCTTCTGCTTCCCCCACTGCCCCTTCACAGCACGCCCGCCAGGGCCTTTGGTTCTGTGCCAGCTCCAGGACGTGGTGCAGGGTGGGCTCTCAACAAATGCTTTTGCTGAATGAAGGAGTTCATTACTCTATTTTTTTTATAATTTTCCAGTGGGTAAGAGACAGAGAGAGGGAGAGTGAAAAAGCACCCAGAGGGGGACAGCCATGCTGCAATTCCTTCTCCACCTCTTACTCTTTTCAGGGTTTAAAGGCACACCCACACATATTCCTACCATGGTTTTTAAGCTCCAGGGTCTGAGACTCAAACCACACAGTCAACCATGTGTGATCCAGTCGCCTTAAGCACCACACCACTGGCTGCCCCAAATTCATTAATTTTGCAGGTGGGGAGAGAGAGGAAGGAAAGAAAGGAAAGGAAAGGTGTGAAGAGAGGAAAGAGAAGAGTTGATTTTGGCCTGAAGCCCAGACAAGGTTTTGACTGAATGAAGCACTGAACCTGGGCCCCTCGGACCCCACCATGGTGGCCCAGCATGGAAGGGGCCAGAGAGAGTCAGGAAGTGCCGCCCAGGCCCACCGCCCAGGCACAGAGGGTCCAGCTGCTGGTCTAGGCTGCCCGAAGGTCAAAGTAGAGACCTCAACAGGAGGGGCAGGCACAAGGGATGGGAGAGCCTTGCCCACAAGTTAGCAACCTGTCTGGAGAACGTGGGCATCAGATTCAGGGTTCTACTCTCCCAGGCTGACATCCAGCCTGGGCCTCTGTCAGGGAATGCCGCATTCACCATCCACTGCCCCGACAGAGCTGCTATGGTTCCCCCACGATGTCCACTTGTTTGGGTCTCTCCCCTTGAAAATTCTGGCCATGCCTAGCCCTCATCTGGCCTTTACTGGATTCCCAAGGCCAAGGACCATCCCCACCATGTGGAGGGGGTAGGTACCTCCGGTGGGTGAGGAAGCTCCCGTTGGCGTGGCCAGAACCATCGCAGCCTGGGGTGGGGCAAGTGGGCCCCTCGTTCTTCAGCGACTTCCAGGAGAACGATGAGCCATTGAGGGAACCCTCTTTCTGCCTCCGGGCAGCCAGTGGGCAGCCGGACGCACTCCTGTGAGAGGCGTATTTGCCGCTGATGTGACCGAGCCCCACGCAGCCTGGAACTGGGCACCTGGGCACAGGAAGACCAGTGGTGAATACAGGGTAGGAAAGGAGACCCCCCAAGGCAGCCACAAGGGAGAGTCTAGCACCATGCGCCGAGGGGCTCCTGAATGAGGCAGGGAGGGCAGCTGGTGTCCTGGAGCCTCAGGGAGGACCTGGGCCTTCTGCACAAAGGTGAGGGCTGAAGGGGCCGTCACCTCACAGCCTCTCACTGAGGCTGGTCAGCAGTGAGCAGTGCCCACCGGCAGTGCCTCTCTGACGTCTGTGTTCTGGAAGAAAGAGCACAGGCCATGTGTGGAGACACTCCATAATCACCACTGCTGGAGGCTGGCCTGGAATAGCAGTTCCTTTGTCCAGGGTGTTCACAGGGAGGGACAGAAGTGACAAATGCAGATTGACACGCACCCCAGGCACAGTGAGTGGCCAAACAGGATGACGCAGAAGGCCAGAGCTATCTCCTCTCTAGGTGTCTGTCTCTACAGCCTTGAGTAGGGAATGGGCTAGACAGACAGCCCAGGATTCTAGGATCCAGTAAACAAGGTCACCAGGAGACAAGGCCTGACCTAGGTCAAGACACTTAGTCTTTGAGGTTTTGGTCTTTGGTCTCCAACAAATAAAACTCACTCAAGTCCTACCACTCACCACCTGCCCTGTGTGCTGGACACTAGACAGACCCAGGGCCCCGAAGTGGGCCTCACTTCCTCATTTCATTGCGAGGTGCTGGGGTATAATGAAGCCAGGGCAGGAAGCCCTCGGGGGACCAAGGACCCTGCACAGAAGTTCTCGCTGCAGTGGGGCAAGGAGGGACACAGGCCTTGTTATTCACAGGCCATGGCAGCAAGGGCAGCCCCAGGCCCATTGCCCTCCAGCTCTGGTCTCATCTCAGCAGCAGCCACCACAGACCACCTAGCCAGCTACCTTGCCCAGGGCCCTCATCTTGCCCTGCCCTGCCCTAAAGCTCCCCTGGGCTCTTGTCCTCCCTTTCTCACCACTCTGCCCAGCCCTCACTTGCAGGGTGCTCTCTGAGCCAGTCCAAAGTGAGCAGAGTCAGCAAACAGAGCAGTGACACTGCCAGAGCTGCCAAGGGCGCATTGGAGGGTCCCACTCAGTGCCTGCCCCCACGCCAAACCTGGGTGGCTCCCAGGAATGACTGGGACTGGTTTGGCCAACCCCAAGGCAAGGCTCCTGCTAGGAAGAAGTGCCCCTGAGGCCTCAACCTTGTGAGATCATATGGCCAAATTAATTGTTCCCTGTATGGGTCAGAATTCTTTGTATCCACTTTCTTGCAAATCCCACCCTCCTCAGTGGGAACCTTCAGTATTCATGGACAGTATTTCAGACATGGCTCCATCTTCTCAACACCTGGTATTGAATCTTCAGGGCCTTTGGGTGATGTCCCATTAAGATGCAGAGCAGCTTCCTGGGGACATGTGGGGGCACAGGAACCTCGTGAGCAGTGACATGAGAAACGTGGCCAGGACATGAGACCCAGAGATGCACTTCCTTTGTCAGAGGCCAGATGTCCAGGGCAGCATCCAGGGATGACAGGCAGAGCCAGGAAGTGTTGAGCTCCTGACGCCACACTGAGACTTTAACAACCAGTTACAAAGTTGTGACAAAAGGGATTCGCCACAAAATGCGGGCTCAACTTAGTCCCAGATGGTACAGACATAAAGGCAGCTCCTTCTCCGGTAGCCCCCAGCTTTGCACCTCATGCCTCCTGAAAACCCTGTTCCTCAGCAGGACCTGGTACATCTAGTAAAGTTCTGCTTGGTCCACACTTGTTTAAAGATGCCAGTCAATTATAAATGCGGTGTCCAGTGAGGGCTGGGAAGGCCTGTGGAATGGAGGCCCTACATGGGCCCCCTCACCACATAACCTGCAGGAGCCTCATAAACACCAAACTGCTCCCAAGTCAGGGCCTCCATCCAGTGCAGGATTCTTGTCTTTTCAAAGCAACGTTGATGGGACCAGCAGTTAGAGTAATGGCTATGTCGCTGGACTCCCATGTAGTCGACCGCGGTTCAAGTCCCGGACCTGGCGGCTTAAACTCACACCCGGCACGTGTGCGTGCGTGCCCAAGATCCCGAGAGGAGAATGGAGGAGAAGGGATTGCGGCATGGCCATCCCCATTGGGGGGGTGATTTCTCGCTTTCTGTCTCTCTCTGTCTTTCTGGCGAGCTCATGCGCCCTATAGCAAACCCCTCTCAAAAAAAAGAGAAAAAAAGGCAAGGTTGATAGCAGATCAGAAAGGGGAAAACCATTTTCCTCGTTAATTTGGAAAAGGCTGATCTAAATTTCACTCATCTGCAAACGCACACAATGCACTTATAATGTCACTTCCAGCAGGACCCTTGCTGTACCCACAAAGGCGTTGCAATTCTGCGATCGCAGAAGGACTTTCATCCAGCCCAGCATTTACTGAGCAGCAAGTGTTTTGCGTTGTTGGCTTAGCGTTCATTACAGTTCGACTGAAAAGTTAAATAACTAGACATCCATAGCCTTACTACATCGAACAGCTGGTGAAGCTGCCCCTTCTGAGGGTGTGGGGCTGGACTTAGGCCCTTCCTCTGTGACTGACACAGCTGGGGGGAGCTCCAAGGAGAAGCCACACTGCCCCCTCTGCAGGGGCTAGCGTTCAGCTGCTGTTGGCCCAGTAGGTTACACCGTCAGGGAAGATCTGCTTCTTGTGGGCTGCCCAGGCCTTGCCCCAGCCAAGTCAGCCCCCCAGGTGCTGGGCGACAAGGCAGCCAGAGTCCTCATTCCCACGTTCACTCTGCGGGGGACCCACTGCCTACTTTGTGGAGTGTCAGCCAGGCCAGAGAAACCCTCCAGGCCTGGGCACCTGGCAGGCCTCCCTGTGTGCACCTGTAGCACAGAACTTCCCCCACGTACAAGGGACAAGTTCTCTGGGAGAACCTTGCGAAGGCATAAGCCCCACTGAGTGGGTTACACACAGAACCAGGGTGTGCCCATGACCCCTCCATAGACACATCAGCTCCCACCCCCATCCCAATGAGAAGAGCACTAGAAGGCCATTTTGCCTCAGCAACTTGGGCAACTTAGGGCTAAGAATGTCCTCTGTCCTCATGGCAGCATCTGGTTCCAGATTTGACCCTCCCTGGCTCTTGCTCCACCAGCTCTCTGCGCAGGCGTGTGGGGTGGGCATACATCCACATGTTTCCAACCATCCTCTCTCCACCTCACCTTTCCTGCCAGGTAAAAGTGCAGATTGCAAGGCCCATGAGTGTCCTGGGGCACACGAGACCTGAAGCCTGCACCCAGGCAGCTGGTGCTCTCTGCCTCTCCCAGCCCCATCAAATACCCCAGGCATGAGAAACCCAGGAGGGCTGGTCCCCATGCCCTCAGTACAACACCCAGGGCTCACATCTTCACAGGCGTCAACGTGCAGGGCCCTAGACCTTCTGCAAAAACAAATACTGCCATCGGTCAGTTTGGAGACCAGTGGTATGAATGAAAAAGGACTCTAGATGCAGTTAATGATATCTGTAAAAGAAAGGAAAACCTCCGTTCTGCAAAGCACTGAAGGAGACAGTGTGGCTGACGTACTTCATCAGCTCAGGGTCCTCCTTATCGTCCTTGGTGGGTGCCACCTTGACTCCACTCTTCTTGGCGCGAGGGCAGCCCGACAAGCTGGTTTGAAAGAGGAAAGAAGATGCTGCGTGAATGCCAGAACAGGGCTTCTCACACTCCTCTGCCTCAGTCTCTCCTAAGCTCTGTAAGCCCTGGTGGGGCTGGGAGGGAGGGAGGGCAGATCAATCGATCGACTGATCTACCATAAGGAGCAGGGCCCACAGACACAGAGCCTGCTCACAGGGCAACAGGCTCAGGAGTGGGGGTGCCGTCAGGAGCCCCACCTTGACCCTTTGTGTCTTTATCTTACTGGAGAGGGCACTCGAATCCAGTTCTAGAACCCCAAGAATTCAGATTGAAGAGGTGGAGGTGGGCTATAACTGGCAGTAACACAGGGCCTTATCTGGAACATCAGAGCTCTATTGAGGAGACGCGCCTCCAGGCACAGCCACAGGACCCAGGAGCAGCAGGCTCACCTCCGGTGCGAAGCGTAGTTCCCTGTTATGTGACCGGAGCCATCACAGCCGGGCGTGGGGCACCTGTAGAAGACCAGAGCCCATGAGGACGTTGGCCCCAACCCAGAGCCCTGAGACCCCCAGAGGGAAGGCCTCTGGACTAAGTCCTCAAGAGCCACCACACCTTCTTTAGCCTGAGGCCCCACACGGAGCTGCACCCCTCTGCTCCTTCTGCAGAGGCCCAGCACAGACCCCAGTAGCGCCTGCTGACTGTCAGACGCAGAGCGCTTGGGGAGCGTCGGGACTGCACTGATTTGTCTCCTGTTCTCTCCAGGGAGGAACAGAAAGGTCAAGAGAGCAGCCAGTTTGCTGCCTGAGGCCTGGTCTTACACACAGATGCCAAGCTTGGGCATTGGGCCCTGTCTGTCCACTGCACTGGGGAGACGAGGGCCCCAAGTTGGCTGCCTATGGGTCCTGGACTGGAATGCGTGAGAGCCCAGGAGGCCAGCCTGCCACCAGGCCCGTTTGTCTCAGAAGCAGACAGACAAGATTTGCCGAGCACCTGCCCCGTGGCAGGGAGGCTTGCCGAACACCTGCCCCGTGGCAGACAGCACAAGCTACGGCAGGCCCCTTCTGTCTCATGTATGCAGAAGGTGCCCCGCTGGGGTTCTCAGGGTCATGGGTGGCAGCAGACAGCCAGGAGGAGAGACACAAGACATAAACGTCCACCTTGGGGCTTTGTGCTTTTTGGGTTTTTTTTAGCTTTGCTATAAGGGTGTGTGCACTCACTGGGGAGAGACAGGAAGTGAGAAATCACTCCCAGGGCATGGCCACACCACAGTCCTTCTCCTCCATTCTCCTCTCAGGGTTTTGGACACACACACACACAAGTGTGCTTGGCATGTTTCTCAAGCCACCAAGTCGAAGACTCGAGCCATGAAGTCAGCCATATGAGATCCAGCACCAGAACCACCACACCACTAGCTAACTCTAAGAGTTTTGCTATAGGGATGTGCACTTGCCAGGAAGAGAGAAAGGGAAATTGAGAAATCACCCTCCCCCTGCTGGGGGGAGATGACCACACCGCAATCCCCTCTCCTTCACTCTCCTCTTGGGAGCCTGGGCACGCATGCAAATACTCCTGATGTGTTTCCCAAACCACTGGGTCTGGGACCCAAACTCCAAAGTCGGCTGAGTGGAATCCAGCCACCCCAACCACCGTACCATTGGCTGCCTCCCAAACGTCCAACTTTTTACCCCAAAAATATTTGATGAATTTATCGTATAAAGTGGTAAAATTCCATCGGAACATTGCAAGTATGGGTTTTAAAAGTGTCTTTTCTGCCGTATGGCCACTGAGGAAAAGTGCGAGCTCCAGCTAGGGCCACCCTGTCGGACCTGTAGGGCCGGCCTTGTCTTTTGTAAGATTCTGACCCTCCAGGAGCCCTGCAGGAGTTTGGTGCTGCAGCCTGGTCAGCTCTTTGCCCACAGAGCACACTCTGTGGCAATCAAGCCCAGGGAGGGTCCCTCACTTTCCGGCTATGACCATGGCGCCTCCTTAGCCTTCCACGAGCACAGACAGTGACTGGCCTCGGGCACAGCGTCTTGTGGACGAGTGAGCCGGGCACAGCACACACCCAGCAGAGCTGGCCCGCCTCCGATGGGCTCCTCTCTGAGCCTCAGTTTTCTCGGTGCATCTTAGGGTCCTTCATCCTGCCCTGGTTATGTGATAAATTCATACACAGGTGACTTGCTGGCCATTAGCCAGCCAGCATGTCAGTCATCGTCCACAATCCCCAGTATTTGTCGACCACACTGTGAGCATCAGACCTTCCTGCCCGTGGGAGACTGATTTCAGGGACTGAGGATGGCCAGCCCCTCCTACCCACGTTAGCAGCTGCTGGGATAGCCCCTGGACGACAGCTCCTCATCTCAGCATCCAGAGAGGGCCTGGCAGCTCTCAGATAAATAGGGTGATGAGCCAGAAGCCCAGGCCCATGGCAAGAAACACAGCTTGGGCCTGTAAGTGACACTAGCAACAAGATGAAGATATACCCCTGATGACACCTGTGAGTGAGTCTTGGGTGTGGACAACTCCTCCCGACCCAGCAGGCACCTGACACACAGGCTGGCCGTCCCAAACTCCACCCTCAGGCCTACTTCCGTGGTGTGCTCAAGAGCAGTGTCCGTGATAGGATAGCGCCAATGTGGTCAGAGAAGCATGTATCCTTGCTGGGTGCTCCTGGCACTGTGCACTCACAGGGTCAGCTGCAGGAACTCGGAGCCACTCTGCCATCCCTGGTCTGCTTCTGAGCACCTTGTCTGGCAAGAGGCAGACTGCACCCTGGAGGTGCCCTCCTCCCTACCTCTGAGTCCCGACCTGGAGGTGTGGGAGCCTCCCCAGCCAATGCAGAGCTCCCTGTGCTCACCCAGAGTCCCCATGCACAGAGAACCAAGTGGTCCGAGACAGCAGTGTTTTCTTAGCCTGTGTTCCCAGCCCCTGGCCATCCAAGTAACACAGGAGGGAAGACCAAATGCCCCTCAGGGCCCACATGAAACACAGAAAACCCATTGTCCAAGACTGTCCCAGTGTCCAGGTGTCAACAAAGAGGCCAGAAGAACCTTGTCTGCCCTGGCTCCTTGATAGGCCACCGTTGCCCACTTTCTGTGCGCAATGTCCACTGAGCAGAGGAGCGAGGAGGGAATGCTGGTGCAGCAGGGAGCATGGCAGCCAGTTTGTGACCTGAGGGAGGTGAGGAGTGGGGCTCCCTTGGACTTCCAGGGGGCAGAAAGCTTTAGAGGGCTCTGGGAACCCTCACCTGCCTGCACAGAGCTCACTGAGGCTGAAGAGTAGCTTGGTTTCCCACAAAGACAACTTTTCATGGCTATTTCTAAACTTACTTTATGTTAGCATTCCTCAAAAGGTGCTAGCTCTCTCGGGCCCTGTGCCTAGCCCTGGCCTGCGTCCTCTCCCTCCCATCAGCCCAAGCGTCTACTTTGTAGGACAGAAAGGGCACCGACGATGCCCAGGGCCCTCGCGTGCCTATGACCACATTTTTACTCTAAGGTCACTCAGGCCCTTAAACAAAATAAACACAAAAATTAACCATGGACAGAAAAGAAAGAATTGGGGGGGGGAACATAGGAAAAGGGTCACAAGAGAAGAGAAGGGAAGAGGGGAGTGGTGAGACTGCGGGTGCAGGACAGCTCTGGCCACAGTGTTCTGCAGACGAGTCAGGGAATGTGTGAGTCTGCCCTGGCCATCGAAGCCTCAGAAACGCTATCAACTCTCCGAAAGAAAATCAAGATGATGAGCCCTGCCCTGACCTCGTCCACTAGGAGTCACAGGGCCAAAGTGAAAGACGCACAATGGCTCCTCCTGGCTCTGGCATGGCTTTCACAGAGGGACAAGCTGCCAGGGCAGGTAGCGCTGTCCTCTAAGCTGGCTCCAGCCCCGAGAAACCATCAGCTTCCATCTGGCCACAGAAGGCTATGAGCCAGGAAGCCTCAACAAGACTCAAGGCCACAGAAGGGAGGGATGCCCCTGGAGAGGAGTGATCAGGGGCAAGAATGGGAGCTCCTTCCAAGACCTCTTCTCAGCCCCAGTGCCAGGATGAGCTACCACAGCTCAGGGTCACAAGGAGAGTGATGTCACAGCTCAGATGAAGGCATGGGACAACAGTCCTTGACCCCAGCCCCAGGAGGACATGATACCTGGAAACCTCTGAGTGCTGTGCAGGACAGTCCGCAGGCTAGCTGTGCCGATAGCACTTGCCCTGAGTGTGTGTTAGCAGGGGGAGTGCAGAAGCAGAAAGGGTGGGCATTTCCGCCCAAAGAGAAGCCATGAGCATGGAGGAGAAGCAGGTCTGGGAGAGCACCAGGGCTAGAGCAGAAGCAGCTAGAGGGCTGCAAGAGACAGGAGGGCAAAGAGTCCTCCCTTTCCTCGTTAGCATCAGGCCATGGAGCAAGGACTGCACAGCCTACAGCCCACCAAGCCACAGCAGGACCTGCAAGTCATGGTCAGTCTGGGCTCTCCCCAGTTCTCTAGGGCAGTGAGGAAAACAGGCTCAGACAGCCCTGTCTGGGGTCCTCAGTAGAGGCTGTGTGTGGGGTGGGGGTGGGGCAAAGGCAGTGCAGACTCACAGCAGCCTCGGGCCCCAGCCCCCTGCGGGAGACAGCTGGCAGTGCTCAGAGGGGATACAAGCAGCAGCCGAGCAGCCCAGCCAAGCAGAACCGGCCCTTCCATGGCCCTGCCCCTCCACCCCAGCCCAGGAGAGCGGGGCTAGTCTGGGCGGTGCCTTGGAGAAGGC